TGGAGCCAGGTGTCAATGTTTGAATCATGCTATGATTTCTAAAGCAGCGAATTAGTTAACCCTTTCACCCCTCGCGGCAGTGTACTGAGAAGTTTGGGTGTACTAATTGATTAATCAATTAATCGATTCTTGAATTTAGCCGTGATCTGCAGAATTAATCTGCGAACCAGACCGCGAATTAATTAACCCCTTCACTCACCCTTTCGCGGGGTGGATTGAAAAGGTCACCGAGAAAGTCTTTTGTAACGCAAAACCGCGAATTAAATTGATTAACCAGCCAATTAAATAACCCTTTCATCACTTTCAGGGGAAAAATCGTGAATTAATTAATCAAACCGCGAATTAAACCGCGACCCCGCGAATCAAACCGCGAATTACACCGCGACCCCGCGAATTAATTAACCCTTTAACTTCGAGGGAAAAAATCGCGAATTAATTAATCGAACCGCGAATTAAACCGCGAATTAAACCACGACCCGCGCGAATTNCGAATCAAACCGCGAATTACACCGCGACCCCGCGAATTAATTAACCCTTTAACTTCGAGGGAAAAAATCGCGAATTAATTAATCGAACCGCGAATTAAACCGCGAATTAAGCCGCGACCGTCTGTTTTTTAACTCTTGTTGTTGACGTATAGTATCCCCCTTCAAAGTTTGTTGTCGTCGATTAGAGTAGCTCCTCATGAGCACAAGAAAAAGTGAACTGATGCTGGAGTCCCGAAATGGACACGTTATGTAATCAAGCCCTCACCCCACCCCCCTGAAAATTTTTCAAGGTTTGTGTGCTCATGTATATAGATTGATTTATGATCCTCCATTGTGTTTTCCTGGAATCCATTAAAAAAATGAAAGTTTTTGTGACCTTTTTCCTTTGAACCCCTTTCTGTGATGACTCATTCATATCTCAGGAATTTGAAAAATGTAAGTGACATTCGATGATTCATGACCTCCCTTAATTTTTTCATCATTTCCTGGAATCCATTAAAAAGTGAAAGTTCTGATGACCTTCTTGCTTTTAAACCCTTTCTGTGATGACTCATCCATATCTCAGGAATTTGAAAAATGCAGAGGTAGCATTTGATGATTTAAGACCCCCTTAATCTTCTTATCATTTCCTAGAATCCATGAAAGAGTGAAAGTTTTTATGACCTTTTTTTTACTTTTAGCCCCTTCCTGTGATGACTCATTGATATCGCAGGAATTTGAAAAATGCAGAGGTAGCATTTGATGATTTAAGACCCCCTTAATCTTCTTATCATTTCCTAGAATCCATGAAAGAGTGAAAGTTTTTATGACCTTTTTTTTACTTTTAGCCCCTTCCTGTGATGACTCATTGATATCGCAGGAATTTGAAAAATGTGAACCCCGCAAACTATTGTGACCCTCCTCAGGTATTTAAAGTAAAGAACCTGCGAATCAAAACCGCGATTTAAATCCGCGAATTAAACCGCGAATCAAACCACGAATTACACCGCACCCCCGCGAATTAATTGACACTTTCATCACTTCGAGGGAAAAACCGCGAATTAATTAATCAAACCGCGAATTAAACCGCGAATTAGATTGATTAACCAGCGAATTAAATAACCCTTTCATCATTTCCAGGGGAAAAATCGTGAATTAATTAATCAAACCGTGAATTAAACCGCGAATTAACCCGCGACCCCGCGAATCAAACCGCGAATTAAACCGCGAACCCGCGAATTAATCAACCACCCACCCACCCACTTTCATCTGACCCCCCTACTGGGTCCCACCGACCAGGTCGACGCCAAAAACGTTGTGCTCGAATCGGCATTACTTAACTACTAAAAGAACCATAGTAATTGATCGGGTAGGAACGAGAATACTCATTAACATAATTATGGTCATCCGAAAAACGGAAAAGTTCAAATATTAGTATGAAGTGAGGTCCAAATATTAGGTATTGAATTATTTCGATTATCAACGAGAATTGAACCATTCAGCGAAATTAGTTGCCGATTTCGCGAAGACGAAAATAGGATAAAATGTGGAATATGAATATGCATTTGAATGATGAATCTGAAATCAATCACTTTTCATCATATGACACTCTCATCAATCTTTAATAACAATTAGACGTCAAGTCACTCGTGAGCACATCGACTTATTCAGCGTATTGAATAGTTTGGGGATATATGGGATATATGGCGGCATTCACATTCTACGATACTTTCATGACGAGGATTTGACACTATGGGTATAATGTACACTATGAGGTCATAACAGAAGAACCTTACTAATTGACAGTGCTGAAGCAATAATTCTCATGAACTTATTTTTTCTCATGGTAAAAAGGACAAGAGGGTGAGTAATGATATGAATCATTCAAAAAGCAGTTTCTATAAATTTGATGGAGTACATTACTATCGAAATTTATTCTATATTCCCTAACTTTTTTTATCACGGTAGTGGTAGGCCACATACAGTCGTTGATTTGTGTCCTGATTACCAAATTAAAATAATTATTAACCCAGTTAAGCAGAAATATAGCCAAGTTTTCCTATCGATAGGAATTCAACCATTCAACTCAAACTAACTGATTCAAATTCAACGGAACAAGTTCCTCTTTAAATCCCAATTATAGCCTCTGGCCATTTTTCTGTTACGATAGTAGTAAGGGTCAGACATTCGTGAATTTGTGTGTTCAATTACAGAGTTTCATAATCTCTATTCCGGAGAATTATTAACATGGCTTAAATATGCTATCAGTGCAAATCAGATCATTCAACTAATATCGATGCCGTTTCTTAGTGTGAGAAAATGGAACGAGACATTGACAGCACTCATTACTTCATCATGAATTATTTGTCGGATCATTGCGGGGACATGAACGAATTTCATTAGTATTTGTTTGTTTGAATACATAGGGATCATATGGAGATATTTGCATTTCACTATATGGGAATTATGAGGACATGTAGAAAATATGAGGACATTCAGATTCTACTATAGGGTTATTATGAGCACTTGACAATTTATGTTTCGTTTATGAGGTCTTGCAGAAACATCTCGTTAATTAATGTAGTTTTTAAAGTAATCATCATTGATGGTATATTGTTACTGACCACATTATGGAGGACTTGGACACATGTATGGATTACTAACAGCAAATCGTGTTCTCTCTATATGATAGCACGATACCTCATATTAATTCCAATTACGAACTTTTCCTTCAGTTAATCTTTATTGATCTATTCGTTGAAAAGCAATTATCACTTTAAATCAGCCGTTGTATAAAGATATAAATTAAAATGAAAAAATCAGCTCATACAGATTTGATGGAACAGATTTATCTGATAGTTCAATTTGGATTTTCTCTACATACCCTCGTACATGTTCTGTTCCAATTCCAATGTTTAAAAAATTTTTATTTCGCTCAAACCAGAATATGCCCAGTTAATGCTGTCAGAAACACTTGAACCATTCAACGGAATGAGATATCGAATTTTGGAACGCGAAAATAAGTTTGAATATTCGAGATACTTTATAGATGGACCATAATTCAAATCAATCACTGCTCATGATATAACAGTATAGTCAATTTTTATTTATGATGATCCCTCGAATCACTTCTGAGAATATCAACATATTTTATGAATCGGATGGTTTAAAGACATATAAAATATATGAGGACATTCGCATTCTACTGCACGTATATTATGAGGACATATGGCATGTATGAAAACATTCTGTTCGGTTTTCCACCGAATTGTTTTTCGCACACACGCACACTCACGCACACTCGCTCCTCTCGCATGCTTGCATGGCTTCTCAGGACTGACCTGCGCAACCGACTGAACTGACCAGTGGCCTCTCACCTCTGACACCTGAGGCGCCACTTGATGGACAGGTCTCCAGCGAACGCCCCCATTTAAATTGGAGCACGTTTGGACCCACGATGATCGACACCTGCCACCTTGCGGTCTTTCAATCGCCCTCATTTACATAACGGCCGTCGACTAGTGCACGCGCTTTTTGCTCTTTTCTTTTGCTTCACGCATTTTTTCTGGCGCTCCTCCTTTATTAATTGCTTATCGCTTTTAAACTGTTAAAATGATCCGCGCATAACTATTGTTCTTCTCATTGTGTTAATAGTGTATATAATTGACTACTTTATAATTAAATTGACTATTGTGACCAACGTGCACGTGTAGTGATTTCTGGACCCTCTCACGCTCCCGTAAAAATCCTTTCGCATCTCATTCATCACTCGCTCATTCCACAGATCTCAGACACGGCATCGAACATCTTGGTCCTTCGAGCCGGATAGGTGGAATATTTTTCGTTTTTTTGTCTGTTTTTTCGCGGCATCCGTGTTTTTCGCGGGAGTACGGGGACGCTAGTGCAGTGCCGTAACACCTGATCGGAGGGCCCCGCACCATTGGTCCTACTTACCAGGGACGTGTCGATCCCGTTCATCGCCCCACCCCTGGGTACTCCGTCTTCAGGGCCGTATCTCCAGCACTGAAAGCCCGTTTCAGAATTTCCGCTCATCAGGACCGTATCAGCATTACTCCAGGCCTACTCCAGGAATTATTGACTACCTTTGGGTATCTTGGACTATCGGAAAGCCCTAACGAACTACCTCAGGGTATTACGGACCTGCGCTGAAGGAGGTGGATTATCGTGCAGCTCGCTCAAAAATGGAAGTCAAATTAATTACAATTATTTGCGCTTCTCTGGGATTTTGCTGATTTTTCCTCAAATTCGGCTGCATGTGATTTTTTTTTCCTCGATTTATTTACGCTTATTATTACCGCTTTTTGGATCTGCGCTGGAGTTCTGGGCTACGCTTTGTTTTCCGCATATTGCTTTTTCTTGCTTTTTGACCTGCGTCCTTGGCTCTTTGTTTATTTTTGAACATCTCTCCTGGCACGTTTGCTTATTGCTTTTTTTTATTTTTTCGCGGCAGTCGATCGAGGTTGTGGTTTTTCTTGTTGGTTTTCTTTCTTTTTTTGTTGACAATTCCACAAGATGGCAACTCTCGAAGCGCTAATCTCGCTGCAGATGACACGTGGATCCTTTATCGAAGGCATTTACACGGAGTCACAGGAGGAGAGCATCCAGCAGTTCGGCGTGACGGCTCTGGATTCCAAGCTCATCATGCTGGAAACGTATTGGGCGAAGCTGGAAGCGTCCCATGAGAAACTCGTCGGCCAGAAGATCGAGAATTTGACCTCTCTCGATTATTTTAAGAATCAGGTCTTCGATGTCGCGCTTAAGCATTACGCTTCAGGTAGAGTAGCGCTGCTGCAGCTGTTGGAGAAGAAGGGGGCTCCTAACCTCAACCAATCGGTTCGAGTTCCTGGCGACGCGCAACTACAGAGTTCAACGCGCAGAGCTCTTCTGGAGATTGAATTGCCGAAGTTCCCTGGAGTGTATAAGGAGTGGAGGCCATGGAGAGACCTTTTCCATTTGCTGGTCGGGAATAATCTGGAGATTCCTGGGGTCGAGCGAATGCACTACCTCCGTCTGTGTCTCTCCAATGAGCCGTTGAAGCTCATCTCTAATTTGCCCGTCTCTGAAGATTCCTTCGGCATCGCATGGAGAATCTTGGTCGATCGATACGAGAACAAGCGCTTATTGATTACAGCTCACCTTGACCAGCTTCTCAATCCTGCTCCGATGAAGACGCACGGTGCCTCAGACCTTAATTTATTGACGAGCTCCGTTTCTGAGGCACTCAGTACGCTCAAAGCACTGGATCAGTCAACGGAACATTGGGGTCCAATCGTCGTCCACGTGCTCACTCGTCGCTTATCCAACAAGCTTCGTGAGGCATGGGAAAATAAAATCGGAGCATCGACTGGGTATCCGACGCTTGAACATCTCCTCGATTTCCTACAAGGTCGTTCACGAGCCATGGAGACCTTGGAGGTTGGGTCTTCGGTGCATACATCGAACGACGCCTCTCGTCCTTCGCAGCCCAGCGTCCAGACTCGTTCGATGACCAAGAGTAGTGCCAAGGTCAATCAAGCCTCGGTGTCTTCGCATGCGCAGCAGTCAGCCCAGAAATCTCCCAGTCCAGCGCAAATACAGTCCACAAAGTCGACGTCCTGGGCCGACGCGGGCTATCCTTGTTCCTATTGCAAGATGGATCACTACATCGCTTCTTGCAGCGGGTTCAAGTCGCTTCTTCGTACAGCAAGGAAGGAGGTTGTCGAACGACTCTACCTGTGCTACAACTGTCTGGGGAAGCACAGTCTCAGAGTCTGCCAGACCACTCGAACGTGCAGGACATGCCAGGAGAGGCACCATTCCCTGCTGCATTTTGATCGCGCTCGTCGTCCAGCTCAACGTGGTCCAGCATCTCAAGTCCCTCGCAACGATGCAGGAGCTCAGCGCCCGAGTGCTTCTGCTCCATCGACCAACGTGCCTGTCGTGACGTACACTCACACCGGTGATGCTGCTCAGGCTGCATCTTCAGCCCACTCTCAGGCCTGAAGCGGACCGTCCCAAGCGTCGATTCCTTGTTCGGCCCATAGTTGTTCTGCGCAAACCACTCGGCCTGGAGTCTTTCTCGCTACTTGTTTAGCTCTTCTAGTGAGCGATTACTGCCCTCCGCATCAAGTTCGACTCTTGTTGGATTCAGGCTCCGAACTCTCGCTCATCTCAGATCAACTACTTCGGAAGGTGAAATTAAAGAAAACTCGTTGTTCTGTCCACATAACAGGAGTGAGACGATCATCGTTTGGGACAACGTCCGGCGAAGTACATCTCACGCTGCAATCGATCCACTCAGAAGAACGCATTGAAATTACAGCTCACTCCCTTGAACGTCTCACCTCAACGCTACCGTCCTTCTCAGCAGAGGGCCTTAAGTGGGATCATATCGAGGGTGTAGAGCTTGCTGATCCTCATTTCCGAGTCTCTGCACCAATTGACCTTCTCGTCGGTGCTGATGTTGTTGGTCAGGTCATCAAGCCCAACGTGATCAGAGGAGGGGTTCAGGCTCCAGTCGCTCAACTCACCAGCTTTGGCTGGATTGTTTACGGGCCAGCGGGACCTGATCAACCAACATCTTGCTCTTCTCATCACCTGAGCGTATCGAACGACGAGCTCAACGACCTTCTCACGAAGTTTTGGGTTCAGGAGGAAGTTCCTGGGCAGGCTGACGCGAATCTCTCAACGGAAGAATTAGAGTGTGAACGCCACTTCCGTCAGACTCACTCAAGAGATAGCTCAGGTCGATATGTCATTCATTTGCCCTTCTCAGCCCCAGTTTCGTCATTACGGAGTGCCTATCGTCCAGCGCTAGCTTGTCTTCATCGTATGCTTGCTAGAATCTCAAAAGATGCGCACTTTCTCCAGCTTTCCTCTGACTTTCTGAAAGAGTATGAGGATCTCGACCATATGAGATTAGTAACTCGCTCGACTCATCGCTCGACTCGCTCTTCGTCTTCGGTTCAGGCGGATTTCGCTTGTCGTTCTGACGAGACGACCTTAGCACATGAAGCGCAAGCTTCAGGAGGGTTGAGGGTCTCTGAAGGGCTTCAGGTAGGACCGTCTGACGCTCAAAGGAGTTACTATCTACCTCATCATGGTGTAGTCAGAGAGAGCAGTGAAACGACGGAACTGAGAGTAGTGTTCAATGGATCAGCGGAGACCAGTTCAGGAAACTCACTCAACGACATTCTCCACACAGGAGCCAAGTTGCAGAGGGATATCTCGGACGTGCTGCTTTGGTCAAGACAGCACATAGTCATCTTCATGACGGACATCACCAAGATGTTCCGCCAGATTAGAGTTCACGAAGATGACTGGCCCCTGCAGCAGATTCTATGGACCGACTCAAGTGGAGAACTAGTCACGTATCAACTGACAACAGTCACATACGGCACGAGATCAGCTCTGTTTCTCGCAAACCGTGTTCTTCTTCAGCTGGCTGAGGATGAAGGACATCGGCTCCCTTTGGCCGTCTCGCCTATCGTGAAAGGAAGATACGTTGACGACATCTGTGGAGGTGCGGACACGCATAACCAGCTCGTTAGGACCGCGCAAGAAGTTCGTTATCTCTGCGCTGCTGGAGGAATGCCTCTGGCAAAATGGCATAGTAATAGTCCAGCGCTACTCCAGTGGCTCGCTCCTGATAGTTCCTCCAATGACCAGCGAGTTTATGAGGATTCCGAGACCCGGATTCTTGGCTTGTCGTGGCAGCCCAGCTCGGATAACTTCGTCTTCTCAAGTCGGACCAGCGATGAATCGAAGGTTTCTAAGAGGAATATCCTCTCAGAGATCGCTTAGATCTATGACCCACTCGGATTCCTATCTCCTGGTGTGATCAGAGGGAAACTGCTCATGCAGGAGACTTGGATTGGAAAGCTCGGTTGGGATGAGGAAGTCCCAAAACAAGTTGCCCAGCGTTGGAAAAGTTTTCGAAATGATCTCACACTTCTCTCGAAGTTATCTGTTCCAAGATGGTTAGGCCTTCTCCAGAACTCGTCGATTGAAATCCATGGATTCTCAGATGATTCTGTTCTCGCGATGTCAGCTGTAGTCTCTCTCAAAATCGTTAATGGAGATGAAGAGCCTCAGATTTCTTTGGTCTGCGCTAAAACGACAGTAGCTCCTCTCAAACGGCTGACAATCCCAAGGCTAGATCTCACAGCTGCGGTTATGCTTGCCAAACTCGTAAAGTACGTGAAAGGAGAGCTCAATCTCTCGAACGCTCCGACGCTTTTATGGACCGACTCCTCAGTCGCGCTTACGTGGATCAACTCGCACCCGTCCAGATGGAAACAGTTCGTGAGAAATCGTGTCCAACTCATACAAGAGACCTCACGAGCTCAATGGAAACTTGTTCCTGGCAAGGAAAACCCAGCTGACTGCGCATCTCGTGGACTAACAACAGCGCAGCTCTCTGCACATGAACTCTGGTGGCACGGACCACCGTGGCTCATGAAAAACTCATCGTCGTGGCCATCTCTAGAGCTTGTTTCAGTGACAACAGCAGATCTTGAAGAGAAACCTGGTGTCTTTCTGAAGGTGAAGGTCCAGCGCATAGAGATTTGGGATTTAGTTCATCGCTATTCTGCACTCAACAGATTGCTTCGAATTACGGCCATCTGCCAATGCGTCATTGCTCGTCTCAGAAGAATTCCTGGATCATCGTTAGCAACAGCTCTGAACCCTGGTGACATCGAGCAGGCCCGACAGCTTTGGGTCAAGCTCACTCAGTCTGCGCATTTTTCAGCTGAGCTTACGACCTTGTCCAGAGGGCAACGTCTCAGTTCGTCTCACTCGCTCACTCGATTGACAGCGTTCCTGGACCACCGGGGAGTTCTACGCGTTGGAGGGCGCCTGAAATTTGCTCAGCTTGACTGCGAAAATAAGCATCAGATCATCGTACCTCGGGATTCGCAGTTCGCTCAGCTCATCATTCGGGATGCCCATCTCCGGACTCTGCATGGAAGACCGCAGCTGACTCTCGGTCAACTCAGAAGGTCTTACTGGATCCTCGGAGGAAGAGCCCCGGTAAGATCATTCATCCTGAGGTGCGTTCCATGCGCCAGGCAGCGAGGGATCAAAGCTCAACAGCTCATGGGCCAGCTCCCAGTTGCTCGTCTCACATCTGGCCGAGCGTTCCTCAACACTGGAGTTGACTACGCCGGACCAGTGTCTCTCCGCTCGTGGAAGGGGCGTGGTCATTAGTCGTACAAGGGATGGCTCGCGATCTTCGTCTGCATGACTACGTCCGCAGTCCATATTGAGGTCGTCTCAGATTACGCAGCCGATGGATTCATCGCTGCGTATCGTCGCTTTGTTGCGCGGCGTGGACTCTGCAAGAACTTGTTCTCAGAGTGCGGAACGAACTTCTTGGGAGCCGACAAGGAATTTAAGAAGCTCTTCTCAATGGTGTCTAAAGAATCGAATAAACTAGCCCAACTCTTGCTCAGCGATGGAACCAGATGGTCTTTTAACCTTTCAGGTGCACCGCACTTTGGAGGCAAATGGGAAGCCGCGGTAAAGTCGGTGAAGTTCCATCTCAAACGAACGATCGGCGATGCCCTATTGACCTACGAGGAACTCACTACATTACTCGGGCAGATCGAAGCCGTGCTCAATTCGCGACCACTGGAATCGCTATCAGAGGATCCTGATAAAGTCAGCGCGCTCACACCAGGTCATTTTCTGATTGGTCAGGCCTTGACCTCCGTTCCTGACCTTTCGCTGGAGCATTTGAACGTCGCTCGCCTATCTCGTTGGCAGCTTATCCAGCAGAAGGTTCAGTACTTCTGGAAGCAGTGGTCCACTAGCTACCTTCAGCATCTACAGTCCATCTCGAAGTGGCACCACCCATCTCACGATATTCGAATTGGTTCCATAGTCCTTCTCACCGACGAGAGGTGTCCACCAACGAAATTTCCTCTCGCTCGAGTCATCGCTCTCCACCCTGGTAGAGATGGACTAGCCAGGGTGGTCGCCATTAAGACTTCCAGTTCTACTCTGCAACGGCCCATCTCGAAGCTCGCTCTACTGCCAGTCTCGACCAGCGACACTTAAGATCATCTCGACCAGCGATATCTAGGATCATCTCACGTGATCACAGATCTGCATCATCGGGTTCATCATAGTCCATGTTCGGATTGGGTCATGGTGAGGATTTACGACCCTCTCTGTAGCAACTGGTCCGGGGTGGACGTGAGTCTGCCGAGGTCTGACGGAATTTACGCCTCCTGCGTCCTCGGCTGTACTCACACTTGACCGTCACTGGTGAACTACGATGGTGATATTGATCTTCGAGAAATCTTGTCCTGAGCTCGATTAATCTCTTTTTGTTTCACACCAACTCAGTCACGTCAGCAGCTGCTGACGGCGGGGGAGAATGTTCGGTTTTCCACCGAATTGTTTTTCGCATACACGCACACTCACGAACACTCGCTCTTCTCGCATGCTTGCATGGCTTCTCAGGACTGACCTGCGCAACCGACTGAACTGACCAGTGGCCTCTCACCTCTGACACCTGAGGCGCCACTTGATGGACAGGTGTCCAGCGAACGCCCCCATTTAAGTTGGGGCACGTTTGGACCCACGATGATCGACACCGGCCACCTTGCGGTCTTTCAATCGGCCTCATTTGCATAACGGCCGTCGACTAGTGCACGCGCTTTTTGCTCTTTTCTTTTGCTTCACGCATTTTTTGTTGCGCTGCTCCTTTATTAATTGCTCATCGCTTTTAAACTGTTAAAATGATCCGCGTATAACTATTGTTCTTCTCATTGTGTTAAGAGTATAAATAATTGACTACTTTATAATTAAATTGATTATTGTGACCAACGTGCACGTGTAGTGATTTCTGGACCCTCTCACGCTCCCGTAAAAATCCATTCGCATCTCATTCATCACTCGCTCATTCCACAGATCTCAGACCCGGCATCGAACACGTTTAGATTGTACAATACGATCACTATGAGCAGAGCCGGATTTAGGGGCGTGGGAGCCCTGGGGCAAGAGTCTTGTGGGGGCCCTTTATGTAGTGCAAAATTCGATTTGTTGAATTGACTCATAATTTTCCTAGAGTTTTTTACATTGTGAACATATTTACATTTAAAATTATCATTGGTCATTGTTTTTGGTACAAGTAGATTGCTCATAGATCGTACAAACCACTGAGCTAAAGCAAATCAACTTATCTAGATCGTTTTGCAGAAAAATCATCAATGATCTCTTCAAAATTCATTTCTCGAAGTAAATCATTTTCAATGCTGAGCAATGATAAAGACGATAGCCGCTGTTGCGTCATCGTTGTGCGAAGTCGATTTTTTATTATTTTCATTTTCGAAAATGAACGTTCACCACTGCAATTAGAGACTATCAACACGAGATAAATTCGCAAAGCAATCTCAATATTGGCGAACGCGGTGCCAAAGTTGTTATTGACAAGTACCCGGTAGTAAAACAGCTCTATTGATTCATTCGGACTTCTTTCTGCCTTGAAAGAATCGATAAGCGATACAAATTGCATCAATTCATTTGTGAAAGACGTTTCTAAGTCATCTTTATAAATTTCTACCAAATTTTCTGCAGCTGATCGTAACTCCGTTTAATTTAATTCATCCAAATGATTGAAGAAATCAAATCTTTCGCAGGCCATTTCATATGCGCGAAGTCTATCAGTTAAAGCAGAATAAAGTCGGTCAATCACAGGATTGAAATTTTCCACACGAAATTTATCTCGAAGAGGAAGCTGGGTCTCTGTAGCTTGTGAAGAATCCATAGGGTCGAGTCTGATATTACGTTTTCTAGTTCGTGATTGCGAATAATCCTCTAAGTCAGATAATTTTTGGGCAAGTTTTTCGTATTCTTCAAATTTATCTCTCTTCGATTCAACGAAGGATCTGAGGGATTTCAACGCTGCCACTGCCACATGAAGAACCATTGTAGGATACTGCAACAATTTATTTGTGGCGTTGAAACTCTCCAAGATGTCATTCCAAAATAGAGTGTAAAATGCGATTTCCAAGCTGCACATTTTCTGAAAGAGTCTTTTCGGTTCGATTCTCACGATGTCTTTCTGCTCATCATCCTGACGAATTTCATCCAGGGTTTCCCTTAGTTTATCATAACTATTGATGAGAGCCTTCGTAGCATCGGCTCGACAGGACCAACGAGTGTCACTTAGATTTTTTGGAACGTGAAATTGGCTACCGTCCTTCGATAATTTAGCGACTAGAATTGCATATCGTTCAGGTGTTGCTGTGAAAACGGTATAGATATTTTGAACAAAATTGATGAAATGAACAGCAAATGCACATGAGTTTGCTGCAGCCTTCCCCACCAAGTTCAAGGAGTGACCACAACAGGCAACAAAAATGGCCAGTAGATTCTTCTCAATACTTAGCGCTTGCATCCCTTTGTACTTGCCAGCCATGTTCGCAGCATTATCGTATGACTGTCCGCGGCAATCACTAATATCAATACCATGCACTTCGAGAAAATTCAGGAGAGCATTGGCTAAAGCTGAACCACTATGGCCACAATTCGGAAGAAATGTTAGAAATCTTTCTCGTGGAGTACATCCTTCCATGTAACGAATTATTATTGTCAACTGATCAATGTGAGCCTCGTCAGGCGTAGAATCCACTGAAACAGAATAGTACTTCGACTTTTTGACCCTTTCTAGTATTTCATTCAGTAGCTTCTCGCCCATCAAAGCTATTATTTGTTCACAGATAGTGGATGAGAGATAATTGACGTGTCCACTCCCCTTATTGGCTCTTTCTTTCAAATGGGTCGCAAGGAATGGATCGTACTCAGCCAGCAGTTCTCGGATTCCCAACAAGTTCCCATTACTTGATGATCCGATCAATTCGTTATCACCTCTAAAGGCTAAACCACATTCTGCAAGAAATTTGATTGTACTGATGACGCGTCTCAACACATTCCGCCAATATTGGCTTTCTTCCGCTTGTTTTTTTTCTAGATCGACATCTATCCGTCCCTTTATCATTCCTCTTTTAGCTAAGATGGCGATTGCCTCCAAGTGATTTTTGGTGGTCTCATGCTCAGACATACGGCCTGATGCATGTTTCCAATCGTCGTATCCTTCTCCATTAAGTTGCGTTTTTATTGAATGTATAAGTTTGCAAACATAACAATAAACTTTTCCTGTAGTCGGAGAGAAACAAAGCCAAAATCTATTAACCGTTTCGGAATTTCTATTCTTTCGCCTAAACAAGTTTTCTGAACATTTCCTAATTCCACTAGACTCATTGTTCTTTCTATTTCCTATTTTTGCTGCTTTTTCAAACATTTTCTCATTGCAATTCTGGAGATTTCGACAGCCTTGCTTGGCCCAGAAATCGATCATATCTTCCGTGGATTCCTCAGGCCAAAGACCAACATCATTCTCAAAACCATTTACTTTTATTTTTGCGCCAACGCACAACTCGGGAGTTTCAACTGCATGATGATCAACGAGTTGATTAGTAGTTTGATTCCCGACTTTCTTCTGATTTTGCTCAGTGGAATGAATTGAGACATCGGGGCCATCTGTTTCCAGCGCAACCTTGGACACAAGAGGAAAAAAAGAATCCAGTTTACGAATTTTTGAAAGATTTGACGAATCTTTCTTCGCTTTTTCTGCGCCACTTTGATAAACTCGAGGAACTTTATGACGGTCCGACGAGTCACCCATCATTTACCTGTAGATCATTGTGGGATGATTTCTTTATCTCCAATTATTCATCCACTAACAAAAAAAATTAAAAGATACTTACAAATTGCCGGTCGATATTTTTGACAAATTCGAAAATTGCACTTTCAACTATTTCCCTTACTTCGAAAATTCGGTTCACATCTAGATAAATCACGAGCACAATTTTTACCATACCTCGACTACGACTGTGCAGGAACAACTGATTATTTTTTAACGTACACTGAGTGAATAAGCCAACAGCTCGTCCAACTTTTGTTTGTTTATATTAAATCGACGCCGAGATCAGATTTCACGTCAATAGCGCGCCCGGCACAGCGTTTTGAATACTAGAAACCAACCTTATGTTTTGAGCGACTGGGAACAACTGAATATGCTTGGATTGGATGATAAATGATTCACTCCGGTGATGTTGTCAATTTTCTAATTTTTTTGTCCTTGCATTCGGAATTTTTTAAATTTTTTTTCAAAAAAAAATATATTTTTGGACAAAGTTGTGGGGGCCCCCAATTTATGGGGGCCCCGGGGCAGTTGCCCCTGTTGCCCCGTGGTAAATCCGGGCCTGACTATGAGGACTCAATTCTATGTGTACATTGCATACTGTGACATCTAGCCAGAAGAACCTTACTAATTGATCGGGTTGGAATGAGAATTTTCATTAACACAATTATTGTCCTAAACAAAGGGTCAAATAATGATGTGAGTTGAGGGTTACATATCAGCTCATATAGATTTGATGAAATGATTTGTTTTCAAAATCTCAATTATATTCTCCAACTATTTTCGATCACAATAATTATAGCATACCAACCCTCGGCGATTTGCATTTTAACTACAAGGTTTTATAATTTTCCAAGAACGTCAAACCAGAATATGACTGATACCCTAGCAATAAGATTTGAACTATTTAGCAGAACTAAATATTTAATTTTCTGATACAAAAGTAGGTTAAAATATTGGAGACACTTGATTGATAATTGTGATTGAAATCAATAACTTCGCATTATATGACACACTCATCAATTGTTAATAATAATTATACATCAAATGACTCTCGAGGGCATCGACTTATTCAATGTATTGGATAGTTCGGACACATATGGCACATATCAGGACATTTCCAGTTTACTTTACGTAGATTATGAGAACATATGGGATATGTGGAGATACACAGATTCTACTGTGCGATCACTAGGAGGACTAAACCCTATTGGTATAATGTGCACTATGAGGTCTGGCTGGAAGAACCGTAATGAACTCTCATCAAGTCTCATCGAGTTTTGTTTTGAATTTCTTATTAGGAGTTGAATATTAAGATGAGAATTTGAATTGGTGTTCAGAGTGGCTAAAGAGGGTAGCACTGGACTTTGCATTATGGGTTAGCTTTCTAGTTGATCGTAACAGTTGTTTTGGATTCATAGCATTGACAACTCTAGTATTTTTGGGAGGTGTTGTAAATATTTTTTTAGGTTTCATAATGGTCAATAGTGTTTGTTAGAATTTGGATTAAATTATGTGGGTAACGTTTTGGACTTGTTTTTAGCTTTCAATGGTGTTGGTCAGGAATAAGCTGTGTTTTCATTTTTTGGATTGTTATTTTTCAGGTTAGAGTACGATAGTAGTCAGTTTTATTAGTAGAATGTCTTATTATAATTGGATCTCTGCTAGTCCATAATATCTTTCGGACTTTAAGGTAACTGTAATTAATTTGACATCAAATTCTTGAGGACAATAGATAAAATAGAATTTCTGTTTTGTAACTTTGTGTTTGGTTTGCTTTGCAGAGTTAAAATAAATTTTTGCCCTGATGATGAGTTCCTTGAGAGCTCGAAACGTTGGCATTTTGAAGTCATGAAGTTATTTTTTCTTCATTTCGAACAATTTTATCCGTTTAATACCGCTTTATGGAACGTTTTTGGCTGAGAGAAGATAAGGAAAAGTAGGAACTCTCATCAACATATTTTTTTTCATATGAGAAAACGAGTAGCGCTGAAATAATTATATGAATCATTGTCCAAAAATTAGTTTATACAAATTTGATGGAATAGATTTCTTACAAAATTGAAGATCTATTTTTTCATTTTATTTTCAGGGATTAGTATCAGTTACTTCGCCTCGTATGACAATTTAAACTATTTCTATCGATAATTGTCGTCGAATCACCCTTGGGAAAATCAATTTTTTTTGTGTATTGGATGTTTTGAAGAAATATGCATTATATATGGACATTTGAATTCTACTATACGTACATTATGAGGACATACGAAATATATAAGGAGATCTAGAGTCCACGATAAGATGATTATGAGGACTCCTATGAAGACGGAGGGATCATATGGAGACATTTGCATTTCACTATACTAGCATTATGAGGACTTACCAAATTATATTTACTGTATACTATCAGGTTCTGCAGATTAATCTAGTTGTTTAATGGAGTTTCAATAGTAATCATCATTGGTGCTATACTGGACCTGTATGGATTTCTAGCAGTAAATCGTGTTCTTTTATATGGAAAGCACAATCCTCCTATTGATACCATTGAAAAATTGTTTTTAAATTAATCTTTATTGACTTATTCAGGATAAAGCAATTACGATTTGAAGTGACTATTTAGTTGTTCAGATGCGAGGAATCTCTTCGACAGCACTGTATATAAAGGGGAATGTTACCGGAGAATTTTCAACCATGAGAATGTAACGTAATGCGGTGTGAGGTGATCATTATTTATTAGAAATTGCGCATTGACTCCTGCCGATAACTTTCTGAATCGCTCTTAATTGATAGGACCTTAATTGATGAAATGCTGCCAGAGAGCATAATATATTCATGTCCAAATTTGAGTCCTCAAAATCAATATTGTCCTCGAAGTGGCCAATCTATAAATGTCCGCAAAAAATAAATTATACAAAAATTTTTGTTATAGCTGTCCCCATATGTGTCGTCAGTTAAACAAATTGCTATGACCGCATATCTACCATTATAGATTCTGTCTCATATCATACAATTCTCAAACAAAATCGAAAACAGCAGTAAAAAAAAGTATAGTTAAGGGGGGTTTTGATTTTGTTTAGGATATAATGGGGTTTCGAATCATTTTGAGAGGGTTTTGACCTATGTTGCTCTTATGTCTTCAAACTCGCCGTTATATATATATGTTTAAAGGCTAGTTCGATAACAGTAACGAATTTCTTAAGCATACGGTAAATGCAGCTATGGTCACTTTGATGACAGTCATCGAAATGACCAGTAGTGGGCGTTCGTCGTGTGGTATAGTGTTCATCCTGCAAGTTTGACCTCGACGTCGCGAACCCTCCAGTATGCCGATAACCTCAGTCCGAATATCTGACGCGAATATTCCCGAAAGTGGAGTTCTTATGTTTTGTAATAAAACAGGCGGTCAGAAGGGACCGCGGGGGATTTAAGTGCATGAGCAGGTAGAGCAAGGTATGAGCGTCCTTTTCCATCTGAACATAGCGACCGTGCGTAACCCGAGCAGGCAGCATATTACAGCATTGCGCCAGTTGGAAATTGTGAATACACATACACAATTAACAACTTTTTGGGAGCCTTGAACAGCCACCTCCACGTGGTGCTCCCGGGTCATGCCAAGAGCTGTTCGGTTTTGATGTTATAATTCATACATTTGAATTATACTTCAAAACATTGCAGTGTCACCGTAATAACCCTTAAATATATATATATATATCCTAGTATACATATATATATATATATGTACTAGGGGGCTACGCTCCCTGCTCGCTTCGCTCGCTCCCCCCTCTCAGTGTGACAGAGTGGGTGTGACCGGGATTTTTCCAATAGCTCTATACATACTTTACCACAAGAGGCCACAAACGTATAATTCCCCCCCATATATAGGCACCCCCCCATAAATGGCCACCCCCATATATAGGCACACCCCCCCTATATGGGCACCCCTCATATATATAGGTACCCGCCCATATATGGGCACCTCCCCGTATATGGGAACAACCCCATATATGGGCACCCCCTACATATGGGCACCCCCTACATATGGGCACCACCCCATATATATAAGCACCCCCCATATATGGGTGCTTCTCTATATATAGGCATCCACCCATATATGGGCAGTCCCCTTAGAACCCCCATGACCCTTATGACCCATATTAACCCTATGCCCCTCGTGATCCTTAGCACTCCTATGACCGTCGTGACCCTTAGCACTCCTATGACCCTCGTGATCCTTAGCACTCCTATGACCCTCGTGATCCTTAGAACCTCTATGATATTTAGAACCCCTATGACCCCTGTGACCTTTGAGACCCTCGTGACTCTTATGACCCTTAGCCCCTCTATGACCCTTATAACCCTTA